TCGGTAGCGCCTTCCTTAATCGGAATTTATAATCAAATTTTATTGAATTTTCCCGAGTTGATGGTTAGTATCGCTAGTTCGGGCCACATTTTGGGAGACTTGTTTGTTCCACCGGGCGACTGCCTGGCGCCAGCTACGTGACCAGATGAACGGGTGATTTTATGATCGGTGGCTCGACTTGATCGAATGAGTAAGATCTTCCAGATGTGTTTTAGCCGTTAGAAGACTTAGGATAAATCACGTCACTAACCACCAATGGATTTAAAATAAGCTATCGGCGGCAAATTTGTAAGGTTACGGTGATGAACCACTCAGCCAATGAGAACACTCTCTTCAGATTCAAAAGTCTTGCTGAACGCGGTGTGCGTCCAGCAAGGGGCTTCCAAAAATCACTTACGTAGCAGTCTCGACCGCGGGTAGTCCTGCACTCGGCGAGGAGAGAAGGAAAGATAAAAAGTGAACTAATACAGAATTATCGGACTACATCCCCTCGTATCCCACCGCCTCGCACCTTGCTTCTGGAACCCTTCATAGCCACCACGTATATTCCCTGAAGGCGAGAGTCCATGCCTTGAGCTACCAAAACGAAACCCAACAGAAAACCCCTTGTAACCAGCCGGGCGTCCTGATGGAAAGTTTGGAGTGAAAGGACGGTTACAGTTGGTATTTGAGGGCACAGTTCCTACATTAAAGCTAAAACAACCGATTTTAATGTCTGTTTCTATCAGTCCAATTAGGAACCACTAAGAAGATAGCTGTGTTCTGGTTTGTAACGTCGCGTAGTCTGATAGACGTCCTTGCTGCCTCCATCATATGGGCGAAACCAGCAATATTCGTACTCATCGCCGTGAGAACCTTAGATCCTACAAGGAACCGCTAGTTTAGGTAACGCCGACATCCATTTATTGATGTTTCTGAAGAGACTGAATCATGCATAAAATAACCCCATAGTTCTTGTGATTCGGTTTGTAACAACAGACCTATGATGCAATTAAGACTAATTAGACATGCAGAGCCACAAAAGAAAATAAATGCATCTAAAACCATCTTTCCGCTCTTTGTCTTTCACCGATATGTGGTCGCCATGCGTTAAATGAACACGTTTTCTTACTCATAAATACGATCTCGGATGTCGACATTTTGCGGTCATTAATTATGCTTGTGATAATCCCTTTCCCTAATTAAGAGTAACTGAATTCCTCTTTTCCGTTTTCCTCATTTCTATTACTGGGCAGACGTCAACTACACCTTCTAATTTATATACTTATTCCGTTATGGAAACATTTAAGCCGGTAGTGAGAAGAAGTTCTCGGCGTATAATAAATGCAGGCCTCACTATAATAAGAAGGTTAGAGTTTCTTATATTAAAATGGTCCCTTCTATATGAACTTCAACGACCCTCGAGTCCACATCTCACGGTTGGTGAAGCATTTTCAACATTCACTTAGGTTCTTCGAAGCGCACATCCAACGGACTCTCCCCACTCTTGCTTCACGGAATTAAGAGCAGGTGTAATTTACTTTTTGAGTCATACTAAGCCATTCACTTTCTTAAGCGCTGTTACATTTCTTTGTTATCTGTTATTCTGTTTAAAAATGTGGTAACGACAACAAAATTCTTTCAAGAGAGATTACACTTTTCTGAAAAGAAGAGTGAGGTGTGTTTGCATTTGCTTTTCTGTGGCGCGTTAACCCGATTTGAACTCAGCTCGGTCCGGAAAACACGAGTGACTAGGTTCGGGACAGTAGACCTGGGTTCAATTTCCGGCAGACACCCAGCCTCCTATACAATGGGCAAAAGGGGTTCTTGGAAAATATATAACAAAGGTGCTTGAAGAAGCGTCATTAAATGAACTAAGAATCAACCAATAAGCTACGTAACAACATAGTTCGGTAACCCCCGTACAGGGGCCGGAGCATTCATGTTAACCATGTTAGCCCGGCTAACACTATAAATAACTAAAAATAAAAATTCATTTTCATTTTCGTGTGTCACTGGTACTCCATACACTGAAACAAAGCAGAAACGATCAGATAAAATGCATCGTTAGTAAGCTACAGTCAGGGTTTGTCAGAAATAACTCTTGGTCTTTAAAATTACAGCATATTAATGCTACCTATATATCTTTATTCTGTTATATTTATCTATGTAAAATGTCTTCACACATAAAGTTTTGATATGCGGCATAACTCAGGGATCATATAACTTCATATAATTCTGCATTAGACGTGACGCAGAGTTATATTGAAGATAAAGATAACCTAAAACAATTTTCTTCCTGCTTCTATGTGCCACGCCATGAAGACGTATGGGGGAATGGAAATAAAGCTCCACACTTTTTAGACCCAATCACTAACGATGGTAGTGAGATTCAAGGTCCGGTCGCTTTATTTCTGCAAATGAACCCGACAGAACTATTGAAAAGAAAGCCGGACGTGGTAAATAAAATAAAAATTTCTGCTGGGAATAGAACCTAAACAATGAAGTAAAGTAAAGTTTGTCCCACTATACGCCATGTAGGCGCTTGGGGGGAGTGGAGGTATAGCTCCTCTCTTCCTTGACCTCAGCACTAGATGGGGGTGAGTGGTCAGCATCACGCCCCGGCCGGCTTTACCCCCGGGAAAGGACCCCGGTACCCATTGTAGGGGAGGCTGGGTGGGCCCCAGAGCCGGTCTAGACGCAGAGGCTAGAGGAAAAATCCTCTGCCCCCGTCGGGGATCGAACCCCGGTCGTCCAGCCCGTAGCTAGTCACTATACTGACTGAGCTATCCCGGCTCAGAACCTAAACAATACGGACTCAAATGACTGAACAATACGGACTCAAATGACTGACATAGATGAAGAATTATAAACCGCATACTCACTACGTAATTAGAAATTATTTTCCCTTGTATTTCGTTAAACTCTACTCGACGTTCATTTCACGACTGAGGAAATAACGAAAATTCTCAATCAGGAGGGTGGATGACGGACTTGTCGGGTACAACTCTAGAACGTTACCGCTACACCAAGCTGCTCGGCGCAATAAAACTGCATCATAACCATTTACAAATGCAAAACTTTACAAAAATATTTTGAAAATGTGAGAATGATGAAGTGAAATACATGTTACTATTTGTCATTGTTCGTCACTGAAAGCCTGCCTCAAACAATGGGTGATACTACTAGAACTGTCCGGTCACAGCGGTACTTGTCATGAGACAATCTTCAAATTCCTGTTCCATGTAAATAGCAGCTTGAAATTCGTGCAAGATATTCGTATCATGCGTACTTTTTCATCCGTCAATTCTTTGTTCGAGAACTTACTAGTAGTCTTGGCTACTTTCATTCGTTTTCATTTTGATTGAATTATTTCGCATTCCAGACATGCTTTATGATCGTATATTTCCCACCGGGGCATTTATGCCCTTGATACATACAACACTTTGGTCAGAAGAGAGACATGGTAAGGTTGAACTGCAATAACAAAAGTAGGCCACACGTTCAGGCAGATGATCGCAACTGCTCATGACAGCGGAATAGTAATAGATGTTTACCTTGATTATGTCATCAGTATTTCGTCAAGTATCACTTAACGTATATGTACGGAATTCCGTTTACCATCAGCAACCGACGTCATTGCTCCTGAGTCTTCAGTGCGTATGAAGGATGTTACATTTTACTAGCATACTTTCAGCATCCAACTTGAAGAAAAAAAAAGGGTTTACTCAAAAGTTTTTTTAGCAAATCTGATAACAAAAGAAAGATATAAAATCAATTAAGACAAGACAGGCGGGACATGTAGCACACATGGCGAAGATGAGAAATACGTGCAAAATTTTGGTTGGAAAATCTGGAGGGAAGAGACTGTCCAAAACATCTAGGCGTAGGTGGAAGGATAATATTAAAATGAATCTTAAGGACACAGGGATGGAGACTGTGAATTGGATTTACCTGGCTCTGGATAGGCGCAAGTGGCAAGCTCTTGTGAACATGGTAATGAACCTTCAGCTTCCACATAAGGTGAGGAATTACTTTAGTAGCTAAGGACACTATTATCTTCTCAATTACTTAGTGATCCTACCATTTGCCAGGCAAAACCGAAGAACGACCAATCACTGTTTTGGCGGCCGGTCTCCGCGCCAAGATATGAACCAGCACCTCCCGAATAGGAAGCAGAATTGCTGAACACATCACTGTGCCGTTCGACTGGTTCAAGAGAAGTGAAAAGTTTTTTTTAATGGTTCTTAGCAGTTAAGACTTTCAGCCCTGAGTGATCAGAAATTGTTAATTCCCGAAGGTTACTAATTTTTTAAACAGCAGTCTACAAATGTTCAGCAAAATTGTAGTGCTCATTTGTACCACTTAAAAGTGCGTCACAAACTGGAGAAAAGATGTACAAGAAAATATTTAAATTACTTATTTCCTGGCGTAAACCAATGCCCCTGCATGGTAATATTGGACTGGCTTCAAAGGGCATGTTTCAATATGGTGAGAAATCACCATTATCCTCATGGCAAAATTATAAGAAGCCTCTGAATTTTATCGGCTGGTCCTTTAAGTGGCTAACCTTTCGTCTTTGGCAGTTCCCTGATAGTTACGTTCTATTACCTTACTGCCCGACCGTGCAACTCATGCGGAATCACTCCGGACAACAGAAAACGTTGCCGATATACTTTTTCAGAAACCTGTACTGATCCAGTAATTCCAAACAAAAGAAGAGCGATATAATATGTCACAATAGATGCGATAATAAGAGATACGGATCTGCAATGAGTAAGTATTTAAGCTACCGAACATGTACAGTACACGTGATGGGAGAAAACTGTTCCCTTCCTACCCTGGATCGTCAAATTTTACACTCTCACTCATGTCCCGGTCGTTTAGTGTTTGCCCCAAGAATGAAGGCTGCGTCCCAGGGAAAGGAGAAGAACCTCCTCATCCCCACTAATGGTACTCTCACTGATTATGTGGTGTAATAGTGACTCCATATATAAAGGAGTGCGCTGGAGAAAGGTAAACGCATTCGTAGTCCAGTGAAAACAACAAACCAACGATTTAAGTTAGGGAACAGTGGTTCTCTTCAAACGAAGCCATGAGAGTGTTTGTGGTAAGTAATGGCCGGTAATGTGCTTGAACACAGAATGTCTTTACTAATATCTGCAGCACGAAAACCGATGGAATGTGCGAAGAAATATTATTAGGAAGCAGTGGAAAACATCAAGGAGCATTGCTTAAATTACACAGCATTCACAGAGTACTTGTAGTGGATTATTTATTATTAAAGTGTCATGCGTTAAGCCTTCTTGGTCAGTTGTGGTTTAAAATGGACTTCTGAAAAGAATTTCTTTTTAGAGTTTCGTAGGACTTCCTTCATGGAGGGTCGACCAGCCGCAAGACATATATCTATTAAGGATAACGGAATACACACATCCATGCCCTAAGCAGTATTGACACTCGCGTCGCGGCGTTGTGTCACAGACGCCTGCAACGCATTCTGTCTATACAGTATAAGACAAGTGAAGACTCATTCGTTATCGTTTTTTAAAGTCACAATTTTCAGTTATTACAACCTAGATATAAGATCACATTCTAAACTGCACTACATTAAATCATATTATATTCTTTAATTTATCAGAAATAGGTAATGATTTTAATTGTTTTGTTGTATAAAATTGCTTAATTTTAACTGAATATTTTTAAAAACACATTTTTCGTTAAAAATTTGTTTGCAAATTCCTAGTGATACTAAATATAATGTTTCTAAAGCAATACTGTTGATTTTCCCGTCATTCTTGACGGAAAATTTACTACAAATAACAAAGAAATTAATAAAAATAGGTATCCTGCACTTAAGAACCATGAGTTCAAACGCACTGAAGCGTAAAACTCAGTACATTCATAACTTAGGCATTTGCTTGAATTTAGTTATATACAGAGTGAACACACATGAACTGAGCTTTTTCACATATTTATTTAACAAAACATAATGACATATGAAATTAAACCCCCCTGAAGGACAACTTCAAAATTTAAAATTATTCATTATCAGGACTTTTTCCATCGTATGTTTTTTACAACCACGACGTTTCGGAGGTTGGTTATGTCTCCGTCTTCAGGTCAAAATTAATTTGTAGCATGCGGGAGAAATGACGTAACTCCAATAATTTAACAATGGCCACTAACTGCTAACATGGAAGTAAAATGGCGACTGAACCCAGGAACGCGTTGTGTGTTGAGTTTCATTAAACAATATATGTGATCTCTGTTCAACGGAATTTGTTGAGGAAGTTCTATAAAAATGCTCCACGTAAGAATCAATCAGCTTTCTCAGTTTGAGTCGCAATTTTGCTGCGATATCAACAGTTGCACGCCTAGACGCCATTGCTGGAGTTACATCACTTTTCCCGCATGCTAGAAAACTTTTTTAAACTTATTCTTCCAACGACAAATATTCATTTATGTGTGCCATTTAGGGGTCCGCAGTGGCCCGCGGTCTGAGGCTTGGTCGCAGGGACCGTAGGTTCGAATCCCACTCAAGCCATGGATGTTTTTCTGTGTTGTGTTGTCCTGTGTACAGGTAGAGGCCTTGCGACGGGCCGATCCCTCGCCCAAGGAGTCCTACCGAATGTCTATAGATCAAGCCAACGAAAAAGTTGGGACCCGCAGTGCTGAGGCACTTGAAGAACGGGTTGTCCCCAGTGTGCCGTTTAATTTTTGTTAACAAATGTTTGAAACCGCTCAAATAATTTGCGTTCACTCTATGTACAACTCAGCTTTCTAAATCTGTAACCGAGTTTAATGATTAGTTTGAAGATACAAAGAGAAATGTTTGTGGCGTTCTTGAAATCACTCTCTGGGCGCCTCGTAACCGCAGGTGAAGGAAAAGAACGCACAGGCTCTAGGTAGACGTGCGGTCCGTGGAAATGTGTAATTAGACTACTTGTTCGAGCAGGTCGGTGGTGCAGCATGGCCGGCAGTGCGTGTGGGACTTCCCTTCGCAACTGGTGCAACACCAGAATACGTTTCTCTCATTTGTTTGTGTTAATTGCGAGGAAAGATACATGTCTCGTTTTCGTACCTCCGGTAATTGGCTTCTGGGCGCAAGCTCTCATTAAACCTAATCCTTGGAATGGTAAAACTGCCCCTGCTGCATCACAAAGAAACACACAATGCGCCTCTTGTGCGCATGCCTTTTAATAAGCGTCATCATAGGATCTGAGGTTTTTAAGGCGATATAAATATAAATGGTCTTTTGAGATGTTGAGCCATGTATTTTGGTCGAATGTTAACATTTCTACAGGTACTATAGTTTAATGCCTTTTGTAGCTTAGTTGTAAAGCGTTAAACAACTTCTGGACTAGTGAAAACAGCGAATACAGTTCGTTTAAATGATGTAAATCGCGCGGTGTGCTTCTTCTGTCATCGCTAACCCATTGGGAAACACTGATGTAGCTTCAGCGATACAACCTGCTCGGTCAACTACATTTGAACCTCCTTTACCACTACTCATTAGTTGGTGTCAATAAGCATAACAATTACAAAATGTTGCAACACAAATGTGAAGTTTATATTTGAAAAACAAAGGCCAGCGTCTTAATCATTTTGAAGTTGCGAGTAACATACGTGCTCCAAATACAGCCACATCCGCCCCCGTCCTACGCACACGCCATCCCAAATGAAATCGACACAACAGAGTGAAAGCAATGTCATGACACGCACAGAAACTCCCTCCGCCCTCATTAATATAAAACAATAACATATCGGGGCGCGTAATAAGGAATGCTTTCGCTCCCTCTGTGACTTGGTCACGGGCAAGGCCGTCCGCTTCCACGCGCTTTCATCTCTTCGATTGTTCCTTTTTGTGGTTTATTTGCATTCACCAGTGTTACAACAGGACGCACCTAACGACAGGTAGCAAGCGACTTTGAGCACTCGACCGTTATTACACGACAATGAAAATTTCGGCTTTCTAGCAATAAAAAGAAAGAAGAAATGCTGGGAAAAGCAGGAAGTATCAAGGTCGCCTGCACTGCTTTCTCCAATTACAGGCTGCAATACCATAACAAAGGAGCCTGATCACGACGTCAACGCACTGCGCTGTAACTGATTACATGCAAGTCGTCCCGAACATTGCGAGATACGAAGTTTTTCTGGAAGGTGAACA